ATAACACTACAGATAGATAGTTCTTAAATACAGAGAAGCAGCCTCCAAAGATCATAAGGGAAAGCATAGGGAAGGGCTGAAAGTTTTCGTACCACTGTCTGGGGAACGCAGGGGAGAGGAGAAGAAAAAAAGTCCTTCAGCTTCCACAGCTATGGAAAAGGAATAGAAACAACTCCTCGCCTTTTGGGATTCTGCTAGATCTCCTATGCACTTTAAATCGTCAGTCCTAGGAGCTGGGTTTTTCACTGCTCCGAGTTCACTATAGGCACGTTTCAAGAACCAAGAGTGCAAAAGAATTAATGTTTCTATCCATGCCTAAACAACAATAAAACTGAAGTATGTCTTCACTCGCTTGTCTGAAATATCTCAGTTTACAAGAACAGGTATGAACACGAGGGAGGGCCCGTGCCCGGAGCTGGCGCCGCTGCTGGCTCTAATCCCGCCAGTATGCCTCCGAAGAGCCTGGCGGGGACGAGAAGTCCCGCGAAGCCCGGGGGGCTCGGTGCGGGCGTTCGGGCCTTCTTGCGGACCAGAGGGTCCGCACCTAGAGAGCACGAGCGCTCACGCAGAGAAAAGCACGTGCCCGGCAGGCACGTGACACCTTCCGAAAGTTCGTCGTGCAGGTCTCTGCTTGTGACCTGGCTAAAAAAACGCCCGAGCAGTGAATCTTGGGGGCCTGTTCAGATCACCGCTCCAGAGTTCAACTTCAGTTTACTACACACGGGAAGAAAAAAAAAAATCCCTGTTCGCAAATGGTTTAAAAGCGCAGCAAGGGGGAGTGGGGGAGAGCCGATCCTCTTGTTTTAAGGTTGGGAAATTAAGACAGTTTGTGGTGTGTGTTCATGGCCGTACAGGAAACTGCCGCTGAGCTTGGAACAAGCCAACAGAATTGTCTGCATGCTGCAAAGGCAGCATCGTGCAAAAATACCCCATGGGCTTCCCAAGCAACTCTGTAAGTCCCCAGAAGTGATAATACCAAATTATAGCTGTGCTGCAGTGGGTATGAGCCACTATTGAAACACACAGAAACGTGATAATGGTACGGCCAGAAGATGAGGCCTTCTGGGAAAAAAAAAAAAAAGTACTTAGGGCCAACACAACAAAAGGCAAAGCAACAGGGACATTTTGTACTGGTTCCGAGTGCTACAGAACGGCCTCCATTCTAGGGCTTTACCGCACCTACAGCTACTGCGCTGCTGGGGCTGGCCGCTGCTCAGAGCCTTCACTGGTGGTAAATGCTCACCAGGCTGCTTGCGGTAAAACAAGCGAGCCACACCTGTATCTTACCCGTGACTTGCCGGCATCAACCCAGCACCACAGACGATTTAGGCAGACTTCTTCCTGGGCAGAAAGTTTTCATTCTGTCATGGTTTGAAACACATACACAAATAAGTAACTTTAAATTCTATATCGAATATTACTTGAACATTATGAGATAGTAGCATGAGTTTTATCCATGTTGGTACCAGCCCATAGAGACAGACAAAGAATGAATAAATGTAAATTTGTTGTATTTTTTTAAGATAAATTTTGTCAGGGAACTTCCGATATTCACTTAATATCCTCAGCTGCTGGCTGTTGCAGTTAAATCTGATTTACTTGTAGTACCACATGTAGCTGGATACCTTCCTGTTGACTTCATGTTTAGACAGCCATATGTATGTAATTATCTCAGCTAAGATTAAGCAATGACATATGAAATGAGATCATGACCTCCTGTGTCAACCACATCTGTGCAACTGTTTTCTAGGTTTTCTTTTGACGAGACTGGATCTCCATCCAGGTGTCCGTTTCCAAGAACTGCCCAATGCAGGTTTTTCAAACAGATTCCTCCTCCAGGCAGAAGATGGAGGGAACACAGGAGGCACACAACTGCTAGTTACGTGCTTCTCCTAACCCCTGAAGGGCTCCCGCGCCCTTCTGGAAAAGGGTAGCATCCTCACGCTGGCATAATTCAGTGCTGAGCGAGGCCGACTTCAGCCTTCCCTGACGGCGGTCTGCCGGAGAGGGTGGGCAGCACCTTCTTGCAGCGGGAGGGTAGGAAGGGAGGTAGACAGGTTGCAAACAAACAAACCAACCAACCCACCACACACACACCCCCTTAGCTGTGTATGGCTCGTGTCATGCAGCACACACGTTTCATAACGATTTGCTACGTTTCAAATCATCAGAGAATCAGAAACTAAGCTTATTACTTATTATCAAATTACGCCAAAGTCAATTTTTAAAATAAGACTAACTCCATCCACCCAGCCACTCACAATTCTTTAAATGTCCTGTAATTCATACATTTTTCTCATTTACATTCTAAATAGAGACATTTATTCTGTCAGCAGCAAGGCATTCACTTTTATGTAGTAAACAATTTCAGCTTGAAAAGGTAGAGCCTGACAAATTATTAGGAATTTTTTTTCCTTAGTGAGAAAACAGTAATGTACCTCCCTCATCACACACCCACCCCCCCAAATCTTTTGCCTGTTCTCACGTTTCACCTGGTGACACAGCTAAGGCTTCCATCGTCCTCTGTTCCCTGCCCTAGTGCTCATTTTCGCATCTCCTGTTCTGTATAGATCGATTCTCTGCTGCCCTCGCCAGCATTTGCTTATTTGTAGGACATTTAGTTCAGAAATGCCAAAGCACCTTGAGATAAATACCAGCAGTTTAACACAACTATAAACATAAAATGGGCAGTTTAACACAACTATAAACATAAAAAGGAAAACAAAATAGAAACATACCCCAACTTCCCATGCTTGGGCTTCTACATGTTCGTATCCATTGTTCTGGAGTCCCCTGGAGTCTCCCCGTTTTGGAAAAATTGCACAAAATCTAATCCACACTACAAAGGCTCAGCTGTCATACCATAACATATACTTATGGCACCAATGTGCCTAAGCCTTTTACTCTTTTTTTTGGCTAACTCTTCCTGTCACTCATACAACTAGAAATAATGTTAAATAAATAACATTAGGAATCTTTGTACCGGAATGCCAGCACAAGTCTTATGTTTAAGGATGTAATCTTTTTTCATACGTTTCAGTCCATGTAATTGTGATGCAAGGATTTATTGCACACCACCCAGACCTGGACTGGAGAGAGCAGAGGGAAAAAAGTAGCATCCTATTGCTCTAAGATGTAACAGATTAAATGGGTGGAAATATTTAAATAGAATTTTAAAATTTTAAAAATTTCCACCCATTTACTTTTTCTAGGAAAAAGCAATCTCTCTTTCAATACAAATCTACATTCAACCTTGCTCAGAAAAAATTTCTATATAATAAATCTTATATTAAAAGAGGCCAACTACAGATCTGGAATGGGAGCGATGCTTCCCTCAGCTCAAACTCACGTCAACCTAATCCTTTTTTCCCCTGAGATTCTCACCGGAGCGGTCAAGTAATCACCTGCATAGGTACATCACTGATGACAATTTGTTTTCTCCAGAGCTAGAAAGCAAATACAAATTCAGATTGTGTTGTAAGTGTTCATTCATGTCTACACACCAGATCTGAGATTTCATTAATATTTGCATCCGTCACAAGAAGAGCTAGTCTAGCATGGACAACAGAATACATTTAAAAGGAAGAACATAATTGAATCTAAATTCAGGAAATGAAATTAATTAAAGAATAAAATAAAACCTCATATAGGCAAAATATTTCCATAAATTCAATTTCAGTGATGGTGATATAAAAGCTCTCTCTGTTTTTATTACTCAAAAAAAAGAAAGATCACACTCATTTCCATGAATTTAAGAAAGTAAACACACACAACAAACACAACTGGCCAAAGTGACTGCACTCACTAAACAGAAAGAAACAGCATATGGAAATCAGATCAGACAGACTTTCTGATAAAATTAGAGTTAGCAAGATTACCAGTGTGTGGCATAAGGTAGTTTCAATTCTATGTGCAAAGTCTTTCTAACCCCCACTAGCTGTACCTTGAAGTAATCCATTTTGCGGTACAGTCTGGGTTTGCTGCGTGTCTTCTGCACAGTGCTGTGTCCCAGATTTTCCTAATCCAAAATATATCAAGAACAACAGTGGAAAAGCAGAGTTTTTTCACTGAAAGTTTTACACATGTTATAGGCAGAGGTAAGAAATACAAGTTTGGCAGCAAAAGCCAGCAGCGGTTAGAAGCTCTTGAGAAAATAACGTTCCTGGATCCCCTCCTTTCACACTGCCTCTGCCTGAAAAATCAGTCGTTTGGTCCTTCAAAAAAGAGGTGAGGGAGAGAAGGGAAGAGGGAAATTGCCCATAAATAGGAGCATAACTCATTAAAAGTTATCTTTAGCGACAGCTAGATCTTTTTCAAGTGCAAATCTTAAAAAAAAAAAAAGGCAAAAAAAGAAGCTGAGATGGGAATGTTGCTGTGGTCACTGCCCTCCAAGGATGTAGTCCTTTGACAGGTACAGTGCTCCATCCTAATGCTATCTATCCCTACTGCTCTCTCTGGAGTGCTTATTCAAACATTTGCTCTCTCCTCATTATGTATATGCTTCTCTACATTTACACTAGCTAAAAGGTGCTAATAGCTACCACCAAGAACGGATCTGGATCCCAAGGCAGTCAGAGCTAACCTTTACAAAGCTGCTGCCCTTCGTGGACATCTTTAGTTCCAACAGAGGAAGCCATCAAATCTCTTCATA